AGAAATTAAAAAAAGTTTGAAAAATCGATTTTATTCCTGTTTTTCGAACAAAACACGGCAGGATGCAATGGCAACTTCGAGAGAAGGGTGAACGCTTAAGAAACATTCCCTGACACTGAAACTTCACCGAATTATTATTTTGTTCTTACTCTTGAAAACCTTAAAAGAAAATTTGAAAAACAATGTCTTATACTTTTATAATCGACAAGTCTAAAGAGGTCATATTTGTGACGTTAGACATGCTAGAAAACGAAGGCCAACTTTGACTATTAAAAAAGGCCTCTGGTATATGCCGCTTGATCATAAAATCAATATAAAATGGAACCTTGGCTTTTGTACTAACTTACTGGAAAGTGTTAGCTCTGGAAATCAAATACCATCCTGACACCAAAGCAAGCGGTGAGAGCAATTGAATTGGGAAATTTATGCAAATTAGACGGCTTGCGGACGGTTGTCAAACTAAAAGAAAGGTTTTACATGAAAGGATTACTCACCATTGCTTGCAACACGTTTTTACGGCAAGGAAAGTAATTTCCAACGTCTGTTGCGTCGGTTTGAGTCACAAAATCCATAATTTTAAGCCAAAAGGTCCAAAAGAGAAACGTACGTTTGCTCAGCGACTGCGCCAGAATCCGGCCGTGAATCGTAATAAAGTCACAACACGTCACTGCGGTCCTTTGGAAGCAAGAGTTGCAAGAGTTTTTATTTCAGTCAGGAGGCCAAAAGATTGAAAAATCATCGCAAACTAATGACTTCGATTTTGAAAACCTTTCATCACTTCAATCGTTCGTCGGCTGATAATAAACATCGCACAAGATCGTATGACCTTTGGCGTGTGACCGGAAATCGGTCACACGCTTAAGTCACGTTAGCATACTGTCACGAATTTTAATACGATTTTTCATGTTTGCTTTCGACAAAAAATAGACTCATCGAAATAAAATCAGGCCTGCTTTATTTGTTTGTTTGTTTTTTAATTTCTTTTATAGCCTGCAGAACTTGTTCCCCATGCATCGCGCGTGTCTCGCACCCCCAGTCCGCTTCGCAGTGCTAGCATGAAAAGCGCAAAAAACTGAAATTGACTCCTGTTCTTCAGTTGATTTCTTTTATAGACACCTTCTAGGCATTGACAGGCTGTGAAAAAAGTGTATTTTTTTTATTATTATTTTTTGAAGTGCTACATCATTTTCCTATAAATTTCAAACGTGACTGCTAAAAGACTGTTTGGAACCCATGGATGGAGAAAAGTTGTGCCGGAGAGAAGGTCAACCTCCCAGCCGAGCCAACTTTTGCGAGGAAAAAACTGACCACTTTGTCCGAGTCAACAGTGCTTGCGCATGCTGTCTTTGTCTAGCCTTGACCGTGTCGTCCCAGCTAGCTGGGCGAGCCAAAGTGAAGAAATATTAGCCGGGCTAGAAGGTTGAGGCCACCACTACCGGCTCAGTGGAGGGCTGACTTCCGGAAGCCCTCAACCCCGCCCACTACTGGTAGTAAGGTAGCCTGCGTAGCAAGCGTTTCCAATCGAGTTATTGCGCGAAAGTTAGAGCGGAAGCAAAAAAAAGGTTGAAGGGGGAGGGGGAGGGGAGAAGAGGAAGCGGTTCCTTCGTTCCCCTCCCCCTCCCCCGTCATTTATGTTTTTTTTTGCTCTTGTCCCAGCTTTCTAGACGAACCACGCGAGGAAACGTTTGCTACGCAGGCCAGTAGTAAGGCGTCTATCCCAACCAACCTTTTGTTTCTCATGTAAATGGTTACCAAGTTTTGTAAGGAAATGGAGGAAAAGTTGGCTCGCCCAGGGTAGCTTGGGAGGTGAGTAAACACCAGATAACCCCAATAATAAGCACAAACTTTGATTGTCAGTTAGATGTCCACTATTTTAAGTAAGCGACCTGGCATGTGATTTTCGCATCCATGCCCCCTTCCAGATCCCCTTTATTATCGGTAAGTCTCTGATAGGTCAAAGCAATACAGTCGTACCTCCAGTAAGCGACCACCAAAAATGCAAAGACTTAATGGTCTCTAACGGGAGGTGGCCGTTTAGAAGAATCGGACCACATGGGGTCTATTCCGAGAAGAGGTCCGGGCACATTCTATTAAATGGCGGTGTAACAAATTCCTGGCAAAATCTTATCTTTTACCTCTTTTGAAAAATACAGCTTTTAAATCATGCTCAATTTAAGGAGGGATTCAGGTGAGTGAGATATAGAATAGTCTAGAATCACAACAGAATCTTCACTTTGTTGGCTACATCTACTAAGTTAGGATATGTGTAGTTCCACGATGTCACTAAAGGTCTTCATATTTTCCAAGGAACATAGTGCACACAGCAAAAATAGAGAGCAGAGAATGCGTCAACTGGTCGCTTATGGAAAACAATTAACCGTGACCCCCAAAAAGTGGTCGCAGTCACTTACAGAAGGTCGTTTACTGGAGGTTCCAAATATAAGGCTTTGAATGGGAAAATTTGGTCTTTTGGATTGGCGGTCGCACATGGAGGTTCGACTGTGTTAGGTCTATTAGAGTATGAGCCACCATCACCTCACTGTGAGTGACGAGAGCCAGGAACGTATAGTATACACTCCCTTAGGATACACAGAATCGTTGTTTTGAGGTCCCGTTTAGCGAAATGGATCATTCAAGGGAGGTGCTGAACTCCCATAGTGAAATTTATAAGGGTTATGGGTTTTTAGTGCAAGGCGAAACACAATACTTAGGGCCCTGTTGTTCAAACGTTGAACAACAGGAAATCACTATCAAGCGAATAAGAAGAAGCAATTGCGTTACTTATTGGACATAGATTTATCCAGGGGAAAGCGTTAGTCCCGGGGGCGTTAGTCAACTTTTCGAACATACAAACCCTAAGTCACTCTCCTCCGAAGACTTACCCTGGGCGACCAGGATAGGGGAATATAATACTCGACCTTCCTTGCATCATCGCGAGAGCCTATAGCCTTCACTTTCTTTTGGCTCGTCCTATAATCCTACCCAACGTTCGTGGGACAGGAAAGTCTGCGTGCGAGGCTTGGGAATCTAGGGAGACTATGGTAGCATGGTGCAAATAGCCGGGATGAGCTACTTTGTCCACACGAACCAAGAGGATTGTGTCTGCTAGAAGAAATCAGATGTAGCTCTCTGTGATAAGTAATATTCCAACAGTATAGGATCATAGTTTGAAGCCATTTCACAATCACTAGTTTCCGCGCACCTCTACCGGCGAGTTGTGGACAAAAGCAGCTGATAGCTGTATACGAACCTTTTTTCCACAAAATCGTTTCTGGGTTTTCGTATTCGACAGTGTCATGTATTGATTTTTTTTAAATCTTAATCGAGGTCTTTTTTATTATGTACTGTCTATCTGACTGACCGTTTCTTTGTGTTTTTTTTTTTTCTGGTAATACCAGGTTTCATAATTTGGTCGCGGTTGGGGTTATAGGCTCCTGATCGTGAGCAAATAGCGAAAACTAAAGTAAACTATAGCGTTGAATCCGTTGGCCACGGAGAATTGGTATTATTCTGCAAGTTCTTTACTACAGCAAGAGAGTATACTCCCTTGACTATGGGACATTGGGCCGGGGGAACTTAGTATTTTGACCCAGCATAGGGGAGGAGGGGAGGGGGGGTACCCTGGCCAGATTCCAAGTCACGGGGATGATCGAAGTATGTTTTTTTCTTGGTTTGAAAATATTTTGAACAATTTTTTTTTTAGCTGTGGCTTTACTTAAGTATTCAAAATATTCGTTCTTTTTTGGTCTTCATTTTCGCTTCCACGGGTCACTCACGACACTTGGAATCCGAGGTACCTCTCCTGTTTAGTACTTCGAAGGCAAAAAAGCTGTTTCAAAGCCTAGTAGGTAAATAAAAGAAAAATAAATATGCATGGCTGTTTCTACTTTGTCAAAAAATGTGAAAACTGTATTAAAATTGCTGACAACAGCTACGAAAATTTCGTGACAGCATGCTGACGTGACTAAAGCGTGTGACCAATTTCCGGTCACTCGCCAAAGGTCATACGATCTTGTGCGATGTTTATTATCAGCCGACGAACGATTGACGTGATGAAAGGTTTTCAAAATCGAAGTCATTTGTTTGCGATGAATTTTTATTCCTTTTGCCTCCTGACTGAAGTAAAAACTCTTGTAACTCTTGCTTCGACGTGTTGGGACTTTCGATTCACGGCCGGATTCGGACGCAGTTGCTGAGCAAACGTACGTTTGTCTTTTGGCTAAAAATTATTTATTTTGTGACTCAAAACGACGCAAAAGAAGTTGGAAATAACTTTCCTTGCCGTAAAAACGTGTTACAAGCAATGGTGAGTAATCCTTTCATGTAAAACCTTTCTTTTTAGTTTGACAACCGTCCGCAAGCCGTCTAATTTGCATAAATTTCGCAATTCAATTACTCTCACCGCTTGCTTTGGTGTCAGGATGATATTTGATTTCCAGAGCTAACACTTTCCAGTAAGTTAGTACAAAAGCCAAGGTTCCATTTTATATTGATTTTATGATCAAGCGGCATATACCAGAGGCCTTTTTTAATAGTCAAAGTTGGCCTTCATTTTCTAGCACGTCTAACGTCACAAATATGACCTCTTTACACTTGTCGATTATAAAAATGTAAAGCATTGTTTATCAAATTTTCTTTTAGGATTTTCAAGAGTAAGAACAAAATAATAATTCGGTGAAGTTTCAGTGTCAGGGAATGTTTCTTACGCGTTCACCCTTCTCTCGAAGTTGCCATTGCATCCTGCCGTGTTTTGTGCGAAAAACGAGCATAAAATCGATTTTTCAAACTTTTCCTAATTTCTCCTTTAAAATGAATCGTTTGAACCCAAAACTATTTTTCCTTAAATAAGGTCACTAAAAGGGATGTTTTGGCAAAATAAAAAAAAATTCGATTTTTTGACGAGTGTCGTGCGATTCTCGATTTTCTCAGATAATGGCTCTTAAGTTGTGTTTTTCCAAGAAATGCTTGCCAATATCGGAATGTTTGTGTTCCTCTACAGGCTAATGGACGTGACGGCACGTGTAACCGATATAATTTGCATCACACAAATCACATTTAAATTCATAAACAACATTCTGCTGGTTCACTAGCGTAGGCTTTAATTCCGTTCCTCGTAGATCATCAATGATCTTTTTGCTTAAGATTGGCTGCAAAGGGTGATTGATCTTCCTTTCGAGGTGGCACAACTGTCCCCGAAGTTGGTCGGCAGATTTCTGATCCTTGTAGGGCAAGGTAATCCGAAGGGGGCTGTCAGTGGGAGTGTGGTTAAGGTCTCGCGGGTGTTGGGCACTTTTAATGGCCGATTCGATGAGCTTCTTGGGATATTTTAGTTTCAAGAATATCCCTTTCAAGGTTTTACATTCCTGCGAGAAGACATCTTGGAAGAACACGACTTAAAACGGATGAATCTTAACACAAACTTTAAGGTCCTCAAGATATGCCGGGGGAAGATTGAGTGATTGATCTTCGACATGCTCATCATCAGACACAAAAGACCTACATTAAATACTCAAGCTGACTCCACCCGGGCGAAACTTTTTATTTAATTGTTAGTTTGCTCCATTTTCACGCCTCAATTTAACTGTACATATTCCTGACACTTTATTTTTCTGTATATATATCACCAATTCATGTTAATTTTCTTCGCATGTGATAATGATTACATGGAGACATCGAAAGGCCGTGTTACTATTTTATCGTTGATTTTCTTTTAAAATGTATGTCGAAATCGATCGTTATCGGAAATATTGTCTGCTCTTTTATTAGTCTCTCTCCTTCTGATTATAAGGTTTCAATATATCACTTTCTTTCAATCACTTGCAAATGTCCAAATGAATTTTCTTAACCTTATCTTATTATAATATCACTATAAAAGTGGCCTTTGAATGATTTGTCATTCGTGTGCGAAAAATGAGGAAGTATTGCCACGCCTTCCAAACCTGAATTCTGATCTTGAAAACTGATATAGATTTAAGACGCGAAAAATTGACCAATCACAACGCGCATACGTATTAAAAGATATACTAAATATTGCTCAGAACTTACTCGATAATAGATACAAAATTGGCAAAATCAGATATTTATAGTTATTTACAGGAAACGAAATATATGTTCTAAACCGCTGATTTTCATCTTTTTAATGGCAAGAAATGATGCTACATTTTATATATAAAAAAGTATTAATGTTCACATTCTTGTTTCTATGTTTTCTTATGCTTTTCTTATGCAGGTCAACTCTAAAAACGCTGAAGAGGCTTGACGGTGGCTACGAGAGTGGAAAAAAAATAGAAGCATATCTGTTTAATGAAATACATGTAATATATCATTATTAGCAGCTGATGCTGTCCCATTAACTAATCTACCCTCATGAGGTGTTTTTAACTTTTATAACGTATGTTCTATAAATGTCGTCAAATTAAATGTTCGAAACTCAGAAGTAATTACTGAAAAGTTCAATATTCAACATAAGATTGAAGACTGTGTCGTCGTTGCCGGGAAAAATCGCAATAGGTTTCCAGGAAGTCGCGTAGCAGCTAAAATACACCCTCAAATGCACCGTCAACATATGATGATATGATTATGTTATTGATCATAAAGCAGGTTATTTGCGACATTTACGTATATGGCAGCTTAAAAATTGATGTAAAACGGCTGAACAGTCCTTGACATGAAGGAAATAAGGATAATATTAGTTAATAGATATTCCTCACCCAGCCTCATGTGAAGAAGCTCTAATTGAATTGGGTAAACATCAATTTCATATCCAAGTGTGTCCAGAAGAGAATGACATATTTTCACTACAGAAAGTAAGCGTAAGAAATAAGATTTTACAAAATCTACAGCTTTGTTTTGTACGACAAGCAGATTCCAAAACAAAGGGCATTGAATTCTTAGACGTGATAGTGTGCATAAAATGAGGAACAAGCTAAGGAAGGACAGGTAATGAGGGCTCTCACTCCACCTGGCAACGGAAACTACACTTATACAATTAACAATAACACGACTGGCTGTATGCTAAAAGTCTAATTATAACAGAAAAACTATCTCAGCTATAAAATCAAGCTCCATCCACCTGATTTCAAAGCGATTTTGGATACAGAAAGGGAGTGTCCTTTGCAGTAGTTTGCACTCCGCAAATGGCCATGAAGTGGTTTGGCCTGCTCCTTCTGCTAGCTAAGACTGTTTGTAGCTCAGATTCTAATCCTGATGGTAAGCCCTTAAATATTCAGTTTCTGTCTTTGTGGATAAGAAGATACGAGGCGTTGCCAGTATTGCCTTCTTCGCAATAGCATTTATGAGTACCTTCTGTTTTACGTCGGTGATGTTAAATTTTCCCTTTATTTAGGAGCTGTAAATATAAACATGTCACTTCTGTTACTGATAGAGGTCTTACAGGTTTTTAGAATTTTCTTCCTAAATCATGCATGTTCTAAGAGGGCAACAGTCTCTTAAGTAAAGTAAACGAGGTCGGGAGAGCCCCAGCAGCTGCAAAGGGACTTTTGGGAAAGTGAAGTCGCAAGTTCTGTCATCATTTTGTGCTGAAGAAGAGAGCCCCCTCCGCTCCATATCTGGAGTTGGACGTAAATGAAATTGAAATTTTAAATTCCACTGCACAAACCATTGTATTAAGCTGTTTTCTGCCACTTGAATTTTCTCACCGGCCTGGCATGTTTTGTCTGATGTTATTGCCGAGTTATATTAAGAGTATGCTGAAATCTTCAAGATCTCTTTGGTATACAGGGAGTGAATAATACTGGAACGGCCATTTTGCGGAAACTATCGTTACGCGAAAAACTGCAGACTTGCAGACTGGCAGGAAAACGAGGTAAACAGTGTTCAGAAATCACCTCAAAACTATCCCGATCGCTAAAACTAAGTCCTCTTTAATTAAAGTCTCACTTAAGACAGTTTTGAGAGTATTTCACAACACTGTTTACCTTGTTTACTTGCCAGTATGCGCGAGTCTGCAGTCTGCATTCGTCACGCCGCAACCGCCAAAAAAAGAAAGTATACTTCGAATTCATAGACCTAAATTTCGAAGTGTTCTTGAATAAAGTATGAACGGAAGTGCGCTCCACCGCAGTTTGCACCCCCCACATCGAAATGAAGTGCGTCTTCGTCCTTCTGTTGGTGGGACTGTTTTCCGATTTGAATTCTGATCAAAAGCCTTTTAAATTTTTGTGTTTGTTTGTTAGTCGGTAGTCGGTACTGTGGACGTCTCGTCGAGTGAAAATTAAGGACCCCTAACATCAGTAAAGCAGAAATATGTAAGCAGGAGTGACATTACTTTGTCTGATATCTCAAAAATTGACCAGGGGCATATTTAAGGGTAACTTGAAGAATTTGGTTAAAGCATAGTTATTAGAGGAGACTGGTTATGAAAAGCGGCAAACATCAATGATAAAAACAACAGTGCTGCAGTTTATGTTGGAAGTACCGTGAAAGTGCACAATCCTTTGTTTTCTGTTGGCAAATTGTTACGGAATAAATTAATGCAACGTTTTTATTGGTCAATACAATCAAAATGATAGGAATTTTTTTGAACGTTGTGCACTTTCAGGTCCACAAAAACACATAACAAAGGAGTCTGACGGGTTTCATAACCATTCCACTCAATTAACTATGGTTAAAGCACGTTGAGCTCCATCTCATGCTATCTTCAAACGTGCATGTTCTACTTATTTACTCAAGCGCAAACAGGAAAGAAGCACAACTTCAATGAAATAACTTCCATTTTGTTTTTATTTCAACTTCAGTCGTCATAAACCGCTGTCTTTAGAGTAAGATTTCGGCCGACCTAAGCCGTTCTGATTAAAACTAGTGGCCGCGCGTTTCGCCTAACTATGCCACGAAGAGAATCCATCGAAAGTAGCGAACAATTTATCATTCTGGCATCTGCCATATCCTTGCTTGCTTACAACTTTCATCAAATGTTATACATGTAGTTATTTTCTCGAGTTTGAATGTTCTTCAGTTTGGTAAACATAAACTCGTACTTTAGGCTTTCGAAAGTTATATTGACTGTACCTGATTACTTCAACTTATATTTTTCAAGTGGCCTATGCTGGTGATAACGAAAAACAGTTGTTGAGGCAAACAACGACTTGTCGTTGTTAGCCAAACCTGGCAAACATTTTATCGTTCAAAGGATTTTTACATATGCCAGGAACAAAGCAGTCGATATACATGTCAGGGTTCTATCATTGCATACGTTACGGTAATTTCACTTATTTATTTGTTAAATTTGGCTAACATAAAATAAGCACCCAATTGATACAGAAAGCCGTAATTATATTTCCATCTTTATAAGATTCGAATTATGATTTGCTTGTTGCTCGATAATGTCGAAGTGTGCGTCCCGTTAAGTGAAAAGAAACCCCAGCATGTGAAGAAAAAATGTGTTCGCAAGTGACCTTGTCTGATATCTGTATAATCATAGTTAATTGAGTGGAATAGTTATGAAACCCGTCAGACTCCTTTGTTATATGTTTTTGTGGACCTGAAAGTGCACAACGTTTAAAAGAATTCCTATCATTTTGATTGTATTGACCAATAAAAACGTTGCATTAATTTATTCCGTAACGATTTGCCAACAGAAAACAAAGGATTGTACACTTTCAGGGTGCTTCCAACATAAACTGCAGCACTGTTGTTCTTATCATTGATGTTTGCCGCTTTTCATAACCAGTCTCCTCTAATAACTATGGTATAATTTAAGGATTTTTTAAAATAACGAGAAGAATTTGGTTGAAGCTATAAGCTCCACCTTTTTTTGGCCTTATCCGCATGTTCTACCAGCCTGGTCTATAGCGCAAACAGGATGAAGATTCAATTAGCCTCAATAAAACGACTTTCATTTTTTATTTTAACGACAATTTCGGTTATTCTAAACCGCAGTCTTTAATTAGAGTAAGCATGAACTAATGATTAGGGCTTACTTAAGATTGCCTGATTCTCAGAAGATCCGAGAATCCTTGAGCGAGCGACGTTCATGGCATTTCTGAAAATATTTGGATTGTAAATTATTAACTTGAAGTACAACGGACCAAAAATATATATATATTTTCGTAACCTCTGACCATCCATTCACCGTCCTTTTCACCACAAGTATGCTTTGTCCTTTTGATTTATATCCGATAAGGAAACCGAACAACTAATTGCGCACGCGTGGACGTCTCTAGATACCCATTACCTAAAGGCTGTTCGATATAAAGCCCGATAAAATTCCTTTCTCTGTCAACCAAGCGAGCCCAGTCCCGCGTTTATATGAAAAATTTTAGCCCCAAAAACTGGGATAAAATTGTTTATAGCACGGTAGAGTGCTCGAAAAAAAATAACTTATGATTTGCAATGATCACAATGTTCTAAGTTTGTAATAGGAGAAAAGGCATATAACCTAGCTTAGAGACTCTGAGAATAAACTTTGCATCCTTTACCACGGACAAATTATTACAAAATCATCGCCCAGAATGCTATTGTCTTCTGCAACATGTACTTACAGTGGGCAGTTTTTCAATGCGCGCCATATAAAGCCCGATAAAATTCCTTTCTCTGTCAACCAAGCGAGCCCAGTCCCGCGTTTATATGAAAAATTTTAGCCCCGAAAACTGGGGATAAAATTGTTTACAGCACGGTAGAGTGCTCGAAAAAAAATAACTTATGATTTGCAATGATCACAATGTTCTAAGTTTGCAATAGGAGAAAAGGCATATAACCTAGCTTAGAGACTCTGAGAATAAACTTTGCATCCTTTACCACGGACAAATTATTACAAAATCATCGCCCAGAATGCTATTGTCTTCTGCAACATGTACTTACAGTGGGCAGTTTTTTCAATGCGCGCCATAATAATTGAATAAATAAGCTTTCAGAAAGCCAGATAAATACCGACTTTTCTCGTAACAGAAACGGTAGCTGTCAATCAAACGGTTTGATGCGTGAAGTGTATTAGGATGATCTGACTGCTCACGACGGCAAAACAGATAGTTGTCAAATGGCAAAAGAAATAAGAGGGACACTTGCTTCTGTTTTATCGTTGCAGTTCAGTTTCCTAAACCGGTCAAAGCAGCTCGTATAAAGGACTCGCTATTTTACTCGAGTGTTTTTTTTTTTTCTATTTGTAAGCCGATGAAGGTGAAGTCAATGCAAGAAAGAATATTATTCTCTCCTGGTATATGACATTTCTCTTTGAAATCCCCGAGTCGGTTAACATGTAAAAAGCAAGCGCCTCGTCTTTTTAAACGCTTGAGAGAACATTGTGAGATATTTATTCAAATTTTGATCCGTTTCAATTCATTAATATGCAGGCGGGAGTTTCAAACGAAGTCGAGCGTGTCCCCGAGATTCTTTAACGTAAACGAACAGGAGTACTTTTAGAAATTGACGAAAAGCTAAAACTTCCAAACAACGTAATCGTACCAAACTTTCAGAAAATCCTCCTTATTAGTAAAATCCAACTAGTGGTCTATTATCAATACTGCGTTCTAATTGGTTGAGCTACTACTAGGTTATATGTTATAGCCCACTAGTAGCGAAAAGCGCGGCAAAAAGGGATTTAAATCTTGCTTTAACTAGCTTTTTTTTTATATTCTCCATATTTTTGACCAACTAGTTGGATTTTACTTCGGCCTCATGGGCTATTGACTCAGAGCCCATTTGGGCTCGAGGAATAATTGTTAAATAGTCAGACTAACATATTCATATGCTGACACATGAATAAAGTGACTTGCGGAAGAAATATTTAGCCTCAAACGTGACCTCCCATACAAAAAAGTGACTAAAGTGGCCGATTTTCAAAGCGTAAAAGTTAGAACGTCTACAAGGACTACAAAGTCGGCAGTGGTTTTGTATTTTTTATTGACGTCTTTTCTGCAAAATCCATATGCTGGCGCTCGGAGTGCGCTTAAGTTCCCGGATATATGTAGCGTCATTCTGGGCGATGTAGCTTTAGCTATAGTGGCGCCATTCTGTGGAACAAACTCCCATGTAATGTAAGACAAGCAGAGTTGCTTACGAAATTCAAACGTCTTCTTAAACAAGTTTTTTTATATTGTAGATAGTTTATAATATTTTCTTATTTGAATGGTAAAGTAGATTTTTTTGCCTGATTAATTGACCTACCTACCTACCTACCTACCTACCTGTCTGTCTGTCTGTCTGTCTGTCTGTCTGACTGTCTGTCTATCTATCTATCTATCTATCTATCTATCTGTCTATCTGTCTATCTATCTATCTAGATTGGTTATAACGACGGTGTTTCAAAGTATTCATGCCTGCGAGACTCAGGAAGCTTTCGTAGCTTTCATTCTTAGTCCTAAATAGAGCTTTTAAGCTATAATAGTTAGCATCCTCGAGTCTATCGCTCTGCACCTTACCAAGACCAACCAAAACTGTATTAAACGTGCACATTTTGCTAATTTACTGAAGAGCAAACAGGACAAAAGGTAACATCAATGACCTAATTTCCATTGTGTTTTTTTCACAACTGCAATTTCCGTTAGTCTTAACCGCTATCTTAAGAGCCTTTCTTGATTATTTTCGATATTGAAACCCCAGCTCGTAACAAAAGACAATTCAAAGGGGCTATGTCACGCTCATTAGTATGTCGTTAAAAGCTAAAACGTGCCTTCGCTTCAATTAAATTTCTTAAATATTAGGCCAGTTTTGTTACTCAAGACTATGTTTGGGCATAAAAAACTGTTTCCTTGCGGCTGTTTCTACGGGTGGCAAGGATAGACAGGAATTGAAACTTGGAAAAATTGAGCCCTCTTTTTTATTATTATTATTATTATTATTATTGTTATTATTATTATTATTATTATTATTATTATTCGATTGTATGATCTTAATATCTCTGCATAATGGCATTCTTAATTTTATAGAATTTCGAACTTTTATTATTAATTATATCTATTTTCTCTTCTTTTATGTAAGGTTAAGTTACTTCTCTTTTTTAGAATTTGTAAATGAATAGTTTTTTCTTTCTTCACTTATTATATATAGGATTGTTTTTGTTCTCTAATGAAGGCCGAGGGGTTTCTTTTGTAACGGATGGAATTGTAGATAGTGTTTTGAGGAATTAATTAGATTTTTTGTAACAGCAGGTTGATTGTAAATGGGATTTTAATTGAGGTTTTGTAATAAAGATTTTAATTTTATTACTATTATTATCATTATTATTATTATTATTATTATTATTATTATTATTATTATTACTATCATCATTATTATAATTGTAAGTACTATTATTGTTGTTGTTGTTACTACCATTGTTATTGTTTTTATCGTTTCACTAAACTACCTTTTTAAGTTTCCCTAATTTCGAAACATTTTTATACATTATCCTTCTGACGTAGCAAAAAAAGGGTTAAGGGGGTGGGAGTGGTGGGTGGGGAGGGATGGGGGTTTACAATCAACACGGAAATAATCAAAGGTGAAGGAGGGGTTGCGGCCTCCCCCTCCCAGATGTACCACGGTGAGAGTAAAGGTTTGTTTGTACTTAAACTACCTACTCGACATATCGGCTACAAATGAAATCACATGTACATGTACTAAGCTTAAGAAAAATTACCTTCCTTCCAAAGTCGAATGTTACTTTGAGGCCCTGTTAGGGGTTGCAGAGATAATGGATGACTAGACATCGAGAAAAAGTAATCTCTGCTCATTAGGCCAAATTAAGGTGGCTCGATGAGGTTTTTCAGGGTCAATGCCTCCCAAGTTTGAGCATCAACTACGTCGCCATTAACAGAGATTTGAAAAAATTACCAGCATAGCTGTATTAGATAAAGATGAAATTTGTTGTGATCAGGGTTGCAATGACATTGGAGTTGTCATAGCAACGAACTACTTGCAGCCCAAAATCGTTCGCGGGAGCATTTTCCTCCAGTAGCTGCCTTGATGTACGAGAGGTTTGAGCGAAATCTATGAGAGGGTTATGAAGATATTTTGGGATGAAGTTTTTATTGTATTTGGAAATTCAATATAAAACTGGACAATTTTGATGTTCGGCCCTTTTCTTTAGAAAACGAAGCGCTTTTGAAATGTAATTTTACCTCATAGTAGTTTCATTCACTTTTAAAACGTGATTGAAAGGATCATGGAGATAGCTTTAGCCGAACGCAAGAAAGAGGGATTTGATTGTCATACATCGAGGTGCACTTGTTGGCGTTTGTGTAGATATTTTGGTCTACTTCAACAAATAATCAAATAATGTTGACACCGCTAGATGGATTATTTTAAAACAATTGGAGATTCATGATATAAACCGTCGTTTTGATAACCTGAAAGGCAATAAAATAAGGGCTACAATTTGTTAATTTTTGTTGGAAATTTCTTGTTTACAATTCAGAGACGAACAGCAGTACTAATAATGCCTTTGAAATATGCAGAAATGTTAGCTATTGTTGTCCACGAAAATATGAAACTTGGAGACAATAAACCTAAATAATGAGAGGCTCTCACTTGTAAACACGAAATTTCCGACAAAATAAAAGCGAATTTAATTGTAGCCCTCATTTTATTGCCTTAACAATCACAATAATTATTGCATATTTTCAGCTACAGTTATATCTTCTTTTTTCTCTACCATGAATGTAACTAAAAATTTTTGGAAAACATTTTTTTTCTTTTATTCCGCACAAAGAATGCAGGAGAATGGCACGTTCTCCCCCGCCCCTCCCCCACATTCCCTCCCCCTGCGCGGTCCCTGACTTTAAGGGTGCTAACATTCTTGGGATATCTGTTCTAAGAGTTACAGAAATAAGGGATAACAAGAACCCCCTAACAGGGCCTCTACATTGATCGCTTTGTTTTGCAGAGAACCGGAATGACAATGACCCTAATCTGTTTGAGGGTGACATGCGCCTTACCCCTGAACAACGATACAATGCAGAGCATGGAAAAGATGTCGACAGTCCTGGCCGGAAAAGAGGTTCAAGTAAAATTTATGGAAAGTGGCCAAGTGGAATCATTGTCTATGCGATCGACCCAACTCTTGGTAAGCTTTCTATGACGGTAAAGATCGAACGTTTATCGACAGTTTTGGGTCAAAATTATGCCGCCTCAGCTATATAATCGTCCCACCGTCCAGATAATCGTCCCACAAAAATGCTACCAAATAATTTTCAGAAAAGGGCGAGATTTTTTTCAGTTAAGATAATTCCCAGGATCAAGCAGATTTTGTTTAGTTTTTACATTTACTCGCTGCAGTACGTAGCGTTAGCGAAGAAATTAGCTCTACATGGCAGAGTTAAAGCTTCAAAAAGAACAAAAAATAACTTCCGAGCACGATAATTCAAGTTACAATCAGAAGAAATATGCTCGGAAAAACTGGCCTCAAAAAAAAAAGAGGCACCTTTAATCTTTTTCAGTCTTTGTACATCCGTACCTTCTCTTGAAATTGTTGCGTAAGAGAAATGTTCCTTTACTAAATTAAGCGATCGCGAGATTTTCGTCTTTTACTGGCCAGACCACAAATGGCTGGATTTGACTACATTTCGTCCGGCACGCTGACGTCACAGTGAGGATCATTGTTGTGGTTATTTAACGCTTCCTTTAACTCTCTAGCAAGAAATTCCAGAGCAATGAAGGTCATAAGAGATGGCATGAATGAATGGGTCACGAAAACGTGCATCCGTTTCAAACAAAGAAGAAGTGAATCAAGTTACGTCTACTTCAAACTTGGTAGAGGGTAAGAAGAATCTTTTGTTGCAAGTGTGATCTCACAGTTCTACCTAACCATCCAATGTTCAAGCAAATTTATCCCAAACGGCGGTAAATAGTGATAGGGAAGGGTAGAAATTCTTATAAACATGAGAAGTGCATGATTACCACCAGTGCCGCCCTATATGTGTATCAGGAAAAAATCAACTACTTTGGAGCCCAGTGGTTTTTTCTTTGTATTGTTTTAACACTTCTCTGAGCCTGTTGTTCCTTAGTGATGAAAGTGGATAAAGGTCTTATCTATTTATTTATTTATGTTTTATTCATTCATTGTTTTAATGTTTTGAAATGGAGATGTAAGGCTGACCATGCCTTTTCAACTCCTAAATTAACAAAAAGAGAGAGAGAGAGAAATATAAAGGTCAGAAGAATTACTCTCCCATATAGGCCCTATACCGATCGTAATCCCTCTAAAGATATAGATCTTCTCCGACATCCGTTGTTCCCAGGAGGGTTGAGTGAGGGTTGAGCCAATCATGTGTCCTTAATTTTACCAATGTTGACAGCTTGGCATTGGGCATTGGCTCACGCTATGCGTCGCGACGTCCGCAAAACGATTGTTAATTTGGCAGCAGACGTAAGTTTAGTTAAGAAAACTGCAGTCATAGGAAAGCTGAATGAACCGAGTATACGTTTATTGGACGAATAAGACTTTCATTTCATTTTCATTTTCATTTTATTTGTTTCTCCAAACCATGGCAGATGATAATACAGAATTAGATATAAGGTGAAAAAGTAGGTAACAAACAAAAATTACAATGAAAGAAAACGTACAATCAGATACGAAATTAAAGCTCTTAAATTAAATCACATTGTGTATAGGAAGGAGAGGAGAGGAGCACGTCTAGATAAACTAATATTGTGCCCCTAAAAGTTACGTAAAACAAAAAGCTTGTAATTTTTAATAGAAAGGTGAAGGAAAAACTATAAAATAGCTCAGCAAATTATTACAGAAACGATGTTTCATTAGTATTGAGCAAGGTACTAGCGTAAAAGTGTTTTCCTGAACATTTTTTAGATGATTTGTCTCTGATTCATTGCGGAATACTATTCCAAAAGAATCTTCCAATAACGCTGTGGTAGCAGAATCTCCCGAGATAATAAATGTTAGCTCGAAATGGGGGTATGACTACTTGATTAGATGATGCAGTGCGGGTATTGTAATTATATAGCTAAGAATAGTGAAACAGGTATATCAGGAAACTTTTTATGATGGAAATAATCATAAAAAAGCATACATGGGTTCAGTTTAACTATATCAGGAAATTTCAAAAGGCTAGATACGTAGATACGTAGTGTGGAGTTATTGATCCATTAAAGGAATATCATTTATATATAATAAGGACCGCTTTGTTTTGTGATTTTACGATTTGAGACTGCATTATAATTATTCCTTCATAGTGTACAAGCGTAAGTAACATAAGGATATATAAGAGAATAATACAAACTAATAAGTGTTGCTTTTGACACATAATGCCTTAACTTAACCATAACCATAGGTCATTAATAAATATAATTTATAGGAAGGGTCCTGGTATCGATCCTTGAGGTACACCAGTGGAGAAGGAACATGACTCGGAAGCAACACCATTTAGATACACCTGCTCCTTCCTGTTACTTATTAAGTAAAATTGAACCCAATTATTTTCGCTTTATGGTAATCCGTGATATCTAATTTTAATTAATAATATTTTAATTTGGTGATTGTGACTTCAAGAAAGTGAGTGTAGTAAGAGCTTTACGACTTATAAAAGAAAAAGTACAGTCGCACGGACTGTTAAGTTTCAAATAATTAATACCGAAGGAACTACAGGACATGGAGCTCCAGTCTCACTCATATCAAGAAAAACATGGATTGACTCAGCGGCTGAGAATGTTCTCCGTGTAGCTTCGGTTTAAGCTACTATTTGAATCTGAAGATAATTTACCGTGAGAATTCAGCATCCTGCAAACAGTAGACTAAAGAGCGTCTAGCGCCTATATCCCAGCGTCAGAACATGCAGGAAATCATCATCACATTCACGGACAAAAAGCTACTCGCATGTAGCTATTCAGATACATACATTTGGAGAAAACCAAAGAAACGAAAATCTTTATTAAAAGGTTATTTAGCTGCAATAAAGATGTCAAAGAAAATTAGTGCTTAAAACTACTTCGGAGATCAAATTAATCCTGTGTAAACCAAATGCCGGAAACCAGAAAACAATAACTAAATTTAACAGACCAGCTTGATGACCTCTCATTGTCAATGTATGACTCCACTGAGACTCATAGTGGCCAAAAGAATACTCCATGCACTGCATAACCTGCCTGCTAGAAAAAAAAAGAAGGAAAACCGTTGTTGTTGTAAAGCATACTCTAAGGCAGTCACGTTTCACACTATCACGAGAGTCGTTTTTAGCTTGTCAACACTTTATTTCAAACTTAATATCATAGGTGACGAATTACTCCTTAATTTTGGCGCGAAATTTCAGCGTTAATTTGTAATTTGACATGTGAAATTACAAATTTGCCATGGCAACCTTCCGTACGTCTCAGTGTCAAGATGGCGACGAAGTTTTAAAATGCCGTGAATGAAGATGTCAGGGCGCTTTATTCTGAACTTTATAAGCCGAATTTAAGGTACTCCCATACATCACCTATAAGGGTATGTGCCACCCAACGGGGTCGTGATTTTGAAGCTCCTGATTTAGAACGGGGTATCCATTTCAGAGGCGTTTCCTAGATCGGGGTATAATATTTCGAACGCACGAAAGCTCCAGTTTTTTTGCACCCTGTGTTTTAGCGTGCAGGGAGGGCGTATTTTGGCGCGAGCCTCGAGCGCTGACTCCGCCATCTTGGATAAATAGGCGCGCGGACGTCTGGAACGAGTCCATAATGTACCCGACGGGGTAAGAGAAGGAAAATCGTTAGCTTACGAGCGTGGTTCTGTGCGTGGTGAGAGATTTTGCGTCATAATTAACCGCATTGTATCCACATGCACAGGAAACGTACTCCGGATGATTATGAAGAAGCATTTATAAGTCGAACAGATAAAGAAATATCTTTTTACAAAAGCAGGGCTATTTCAATTTACAAACGTTCTAGAACGGAGTATAAAAAATTGGCCCATTTCTGGAACGGGGCATCAGTTTTAGGGCGAATTCTAGAACGGGGTCTAAAAAATTGGCCCATTTCTAGAACTAAGTATCAGTTTTAGGGGAAATTTTTTTTAGAACGGGATGCCAATTTGGAGTCCCGGGCGGCACATACCCAGCCAAAAAATACCCAAGTGCCCCCCTCGGGAGTTCTCGATCGATACGATCCAGGATAAACATGTCAAAAATTCAAGATTGCTAACGTAATTCGTCACCCATGATATTAATAAGTAATCAAATGGTATACTCGTGAAATTAGGGAATAATTTTACGCGCGTTTTGTCCAAATCCTAATAATTTCCCGAGCCTAAAGGTTCACGAGTACACCATTTGATTACACATACTAATTTCCTTTGACGATTTTCATTTTCTCGATGCAAATGGCGAGTGATACGTGCTCAAATAAAAAAGACCTCTCAAAACACTATTTCGCATCAAGAGAGGATAGACTCCTTGTTTCGCATTCTTCCAACTCCCGTGGGATCCCAACATGTTTTTGCACTTTCGCTCCTCCACGACACGTTCACACAACGCGCGAGGAAATATTATCCGCAGGAAAACTGAAGCGTTCCAAAAATAACTTTAGAGGGATTACGATGGGTAGAGGGCCTATATGGGGGAGTAATTATCTGACCTTCATGTGCTCTTTCCGAAATACCGTATCAACCAAAAAGCAAGCCACGTTTTCTTTCAAGTTTGTTCAGAAAGAGATATGAACATTGTATGAACAAGAAAGAGGTCATTCTAAAGAGCGTTGTCTTCTTCCAATCATCATCAGTCATATGATCATTAATGACAAACATTAAAAAGTATAGGTGGATTCGGGCGGCGCTTATTGAGTAAATATGGTATATGTATTCCCGCATTAGATGTCGGGCATATTACAAGTTGCTCATTTTAATCACTCATTCATTCATTCATTCATTCATTCATTCATTCATTCGTTGATTGATTCATTCATTAACTCCTTCCTTCCTTTCCTCCTTCCTTCCTTCTTTTATTCATTCATTCTTTCTTTCGTTCGTTCTTTCAATTCTTTGTTTGTTTGGACACTTCTCTGTTGTTTGCACATGTCTGAAGTTCTTAGGATATATCAAGGGGCACCAACGGATAGCAAACAACAACAACAACAACAACGTAATTTCTACACACGAGTCTAGCTACACACAGTAATCTTACAAAGAATGAATAACTCGAATTGACTCTTAGTTTATTCCACCACATGGTTAACTACACTAATAGCATGCAACAAGATAGTCTTTTGCATGCTCGTCAGCACCCCTTTTTCCTGGCGAGCATTAGCGAGCCAGCACACTTTGAGAGGGTCGGTGGTGTTACATAACACCTTAGCGCAGAAATTCTCGATTTTCTGGATGTCATATTCGGGGCATTAGCAATTTGACTTTTTTATCATGTGACGTCACAATCAATGATTTGTTCTACCCATTCCACCCTGCCGTGTGGCTGGCGGTTCAGAGTTTCATAAGAGGTGAAAGGTAAGAGTCCTTTTTTCATGCCAACAAGTTTCTAAATGTCCGGGGAAGTATTCAGCAAGGTGACGATCAGATTAGGGATGAATCTCGAGGACGACGTGAGGTTTTTAATTATTTTGTCTTACTTCGTTTAACAATGGGTGTGTGAAGAAATTGATTGCCTCTTGCTTCATGGAGATGATTTGTTCCTTGAAAATTCCGTCAGAGAATTACTGCTGAGAGCAAAAAATGATGTGTCAAGTTGTTTGTCCAAGACATAACCACACATGCAGTTGCGATCATTTCCCCCTTCCAAGCACCCCGGTCTTTTTAGTGAGGGATACAACCCCTGGACTGTTGAACTGACCAAATTTCTGTGTACTTCTCCTCTAACCCAATTTCGGCTCTCACGTTTATGTACTTCACGTTTTGGCGCTATTCCGTGTCAGCCCTATTCCTCCAACTTTGGCACGCCATCTCAATTATGTTGATCTCTTTCACCACAGTCTTATCCGTTACTACGAGATCTGGGCGATTTCGTGCACTCTCTGGGAGAGCTTCAGTTGCTATTAAATAGAACAATCCCACGTTATTTCCACATCGTTTGAGAGATTAAGAGTCAGGTTAAAGTAAACGCCAGATTAAAGTTGAGAATTTCTCACAATAGAAAATAAGAAGATAAAAACTGTCCAGAACAATGCTTATGGATAAAACTGGTGTTAAACTACTTAGTTTTGAGTGGAAGTAATAAACAACAAACGACAATTAAGAAGAAAATTTCGTCATGTGGTACAAATTCACGTTTGCCTTTTGGCGTAAACGTGATTCTTAATCTCTCTTTTATTGACATAGAAACTGCGAGGCTCCTGTCTCAGTAGAAGTGGCTTCTCACTCAGTTTATGGGATATGAGTAACTTAAGTAAAATCCATTTTAGTGCATCATTATATCTGTAAAGGCCGGTATTGTCAGTCTTTGCGCTAGCTCTGGACAACCAGCTCTACTGTTTCGGGAAACTTATGACATTTTCTGCAGGTCTTCTCAGTCGCAGAGCCCATCATCGCCTCCCGTGCTTTGTTCTAAGGAGTTGCTGATATATTTCGTTCAGTGCGCAGATTGCGTAGGTTGGGGCCGATTTCCATTTATTGCTCCAATTAAGGCACCCTGAAAGTTCAGCTGTTTCATCATCAAGTCTGTTGGACAGAATGTTCCTCTGCGAAACCCTCTCTTTGACCTCCAGTTTTGTCTTATGCGAGGGCCTTTCGGCCAGCAGCTTTTTCGCACTGTTTAGGTCTGAGGCAATGTAAATCCGCCCTTCTGTTGTTTCAAATGAAAGTCTGGGACCATCTGCTAGCTCTAAGATCATCCTCATGTCCACAGCGCATTCTTAGTATCTTTAAGTATTGATCTTCTATCTTTAACCTCCTCAGCTTGTTGGAATTGCGCAACGGCCTGCAATTTCGGATATTTGGATGTGGTGATTCGCAAAGCTGACTTGATCTTGGGTTTTTAAATGTTTGTGGGTTCCCTGAGCCCGCGGCCGCCAACTAAACGGGATGCGTAGAGTAGGGTGTTAAGGTGTGGGAATGTCTCGCTCCCGTCTTAGTTAAGAGACATTTGATTTTCAATTCAAACTCATTAAGATCTTTGTGAGAGAAGTAAAGAGCTGGCATAAGGAATGTATCGGTGGGGCAAATGTGTTGATTGCGTTTATTTTGTTCTGGTCTGACACTCAAAAAGTGGCGTTTCTAAGAATACACTGACGCGTTGGATAACTTCTTTTCAGCTTTCTCTAAAACGACCTTCTTTCCCCCTCTCTTCATTCATTCACTCTTTGTTTCATCTATCCATCCATTCATTCCCTTTTCATTTATTCATCTATCCATCCATTCATTCACTCACCCACCTACCCATTCATTCATTCATTCATTCATTCATTCACTCACTCACGCGCGCACGCAAGCACGCACACACGCATTCACGCACTCACGCACTCAACCACTCACTCACTCAACCACTCAACCACTCACTCTCTCAACCACTCAACCACTCACTCAACCACCCACTCAACCACTCACTCACTCACCCACTCAACCATTCAACCACTCAACCACTCACTCACTCACTCCCTCACTCAACCACTCACTCAACCACTCAACCAACCACTCAACCACTCAACCACTCACTCACTCACTCACTCACTCACTCACTCACTCACTCACTCTCTCACTCACTCACTCACTCACTCACTCAACCACTCACTCAACCACTCAACCACCCACCCATTCATTCATTCTTTCATTTTCCAGGTGTTCTTCTTCTGTGGGAAGAACTGGAAAGCGACAAGATATTAATCTTGCTTTCGGGTGCTGGACCAGGGGAATTGTTGCTCATGAGATCGGTAAGTGTCATCACTTTTAATAGTCGCATTAGATAAAGCCACATTAACCGAATAAAGAAAATATTGAGTTCAAGAGCGTCAGTCAAAAGAATGAACAAGCAGAATGCTTTCCCATCATCGTTCAAGGGACTTTTTTTTATTTATGAGCCAGGGAGCTTTATGCATCAGGGGACGGAAGAGCAACGACTTCAACCAGTTCAGTTGTAGCTTTGAGAAAAAACATGAATTTAAAAGGACCAAATGGCAGATGCTGGGTTCCATTTTCAACAATGGTCATTTCCCTTGCAATTTCCTAACTTCCACATTTTTTGCTTCCTAAGTACGATTACCTCGATTTATACGGGTTTTAAGTAAAATAGAATACATTTAATCAATTCAAATTGGCAGATCCAAGAGGGCGGATGGTTCCAGTTCCTTCTTTAATAGTAAATAATGATGTCATCATGACACCATTGCTATTGTTAAAGATTATTAATGTGTTAGCCAAGTTTATGATTTTGTCAGACAGCTTGCTATTTGGGTATTTTTTACTTTATGGTTACTTTAAGGGGAAAAACTGATGAAGTTAGGCTTCTGCCAAGAAATTCAACAATATGACGTGATGATGACTTCAAAATACGTCATTGTGTCAATCAAGTTATACCTAGTTGGTTGGAAATGATGAGCACATTATTTTGTGTAATTTGGTGGCCGTATCATGAGCGGGCGTAAAGTTATAGAGGGGGTCTCCCCAACCCCTCGGGTCACAGGAAGCTGAAAAAAAAAAGCCGGGTCTGAATAGGGTTAAATTGTTAATTTAGGGGTAGAAATTTAATTTCTAATTAAAATGGGTTGGGTTCTTGATGATTGATTGATTGATTGCCTGGTTAATTTCTTCGAAGGTCACGCCCTTGGTTTCTTTCACGAACAGTCCCGTCCTGACAGGGATAACTTTGTGACAATAGTATGGGCAAATATCCCTTCAAGTAAGTTTAAACATTTTGATAACTGGATCGGAGATATCCTATTTACATGGATAATCAACAAATTAAACCAAAAGCCTCATGTTAGCGTAAAAAAGTTTACGTGAGCTTAGTTTCATCCCATAAAATTCTTGACTCATTTGTATGACTTCTGTTAGATAGGAGACATAACTTTAAGAAGTATCCAAGGTCTACCATTGACTCACTTGGAACACCATACGATTACGGAAGCTTGATGCATTATGGAAAGAAAGCATTCAGCAATAATGGACAGCCCACTATTCTGGTTAAGAGATCAGGGGTATGTTCCGTTGAGTTTTTATCAGCCATAGACACTCTCCTCCGCAGAGGCTCCTGCTGGGATTTCAACTGAAAAAAAAATGGTCAGCGCGCGGGGAAGTGCTCTTTCCACTTTGCATTATCCGCCGCGCGCGTTCTTTTTCTCCCTTTCCAATCTTCCTACGTTACAAAAAGGCCTCCGCGGAGGAGAGTGAGCCATAGAGGTAACTTAAAGGCGCACCCTAGGATGACCAAACGAAGAAAGGAAAAAAAATGCAGTTTAAATTGAGAAGGCGCCCTCCTTCTTTTATTGAATATCATGTACCATTCATTAGGCACGTAGCACCTTGCCCGGGTTGTTCTCTCACCTACATTGAAGCTAAATTTTGAACAATATTTTTTTCGTCTAAGAATGTATAACTGGACCTTTTACAGTAAAATATCGTTGGGCTTTTTTCAAGAGACTTCATCTTGTCATAGTTTGCAGAGGAGACAAAAAAGATGACAACGACGGTGCTTTAGTTTATATTGGGATCTTTCTTACCGTGCACAATCCTTTTTTAGCGGTTGACAAATTGTGACTGAATATATGAGTTAATGCAACGTTTCTAATGGTCACTAAGTTAAAAAAGGTAGGAATGCTATTTGTATAGGTAATGACATGATTTCGAGTGCAATTTGTAATAAATAGGCATGAGTAAATTTTTCAAAGACCAACAAAAGTGCACGAGCCCGTAGGGCGAGTGCACTTTGTGGTCTTTAAAAAAATTACAAGTGCTTATTTATTCCAAATCCACGAGAAAAATCGTGTGATTACTTATTAATGATATACACGAAAAACATAACTTCAACAACAAATTTTGACAGCGCGTGTGCTTTTAGTTCATTCAACTGATTGGCTGAAAAAGACTACTACCTTTGTCAAATTCAAACTTTTTCAAGACCAACGCTTTAAAAATCTTTCAGCTAAGAACATGGAATAGTGCAAGGATCAATTTTACACCAGCCTGTTAAAGATAACTTCGTTTACAATAATCAGCAAAAGTTAGTGTTTTTAGAATCATCAGTCCTCGATTATGAAAGCTCGGCGTTTAGATACAAGAAGTATATTGCCGTTTTGAAATCAGGAAAACGCTTCGAGCAGCCAAAGATGAAAGACACTTGCTGAGTTGTTTTACGACTGTTCATCATTGTCTGTTCCTGAGACCCCATCATGACTGGATTCATGAAGAAATCTTTGAGATTTAAAACCCAAAAATGAAGGAGGCAATTTGTTTTCTTTCGACGCTGCCATCGATGGGCGAGTGTAGTCACTGTTGGTGTGATGTCGGAAACTACCAATATTTGCTTTTTCTCGTAATTTCATTTGGATATAGCACTAGAGAGTCGTCGTCGCTCTTCTTCGTCGGCTTCGTCGTAGTCGTTGAGGAAATTTATACTTCTGTGGTCTGTGACTTTTGCGATATCTGTGCGTGAATTTTTGTTTGCTTTCTTCAGCTTGCTGACTGTTGTTTTTCTTGCACTATGATTCGTAAACTTTTTTCTCACTTACCTCAAGGCTAGTACGAGCTATGGATTGTTTTCATTATGTTACTTATGGTATTTTAACCCTTTGGTTTAGTTTGAACCAGATACTTGTCTTTAAATTTTCGGTTTCGTTCGCTACTGTGGTACAAAGAAACAGACCATCGCATGTTTTCATAGAGGTCTCCGCTCGACAAAAAACTTAAAGAGAGCAACCGTACACCTTTCTCCTCCAAAGGACAACACACGTGGCTTGAAATCCCTGTTGTTTAATATGGTGGAAAACTTGTATCTTTGTTCATTTAATGCCTAACAAGTGTAGCTGTCATCACTTGCATATGGTTGTCACCGTTTTTGTTCTTTTTTTTTTTTTTTTTTACTTCACCGTAGTCTGCCTTTGGTAGCAAGTTTAATTTCTCTGGCTCATTTTCCTCGATTTTGTTGACAGTATTTTTCTCTAATTTAGCCAGAAAGACGTACTTTTTACTTTGTTCGGGTTTTTGGAATACTTTTTTAACTTTTCTATTGTTGTTTGGCTAAAAAATCAAATCGTTATTTGCTGAAAACCACGGCCATTTTCTTAAATTTTGTTGTTAAAACATCTCAATCTGATTGGTTATCGTTGGTTTCTTCTGCGTTTTTAGCCAATCAGAAACCATTTATAATTTGCACTCGTCTTACAAATTTGCACTCGTGTTACAGGAGAACTGCACTCCTTTCTCAGCCAATCAGAATTGAGTAATTTTTTCGTGTAAGTTACACATTGTACACGGTCAAGTCCAAAATAGCTTACTAAGAGATATAACAAAAAGTCTGCACTGGCTTTATAACCATTGCTATTTACAAACTAGCCATGAGCTCTGAACGTCCGACTAGGTAGCCATTATACTGCCACCACACTTCAATTGAATGCATCTTGAATACTGATTAGTAAAAATTTCCTGACATTGTTACCTTTTCCTTGTCACTATACCAACTCGTGATTAAAATGGCACTTTAAAAGTTGCCTTCGGTATCTGAAATTCATGCATACCCTAATCGACCCACTTACGTTTATTTACCTAATCCCCGACGACAAGTTTTAAATAATTTCAACATTTTTAGGCCACCATTGGTCAGCGAAATGGTTTGAGTGTAATAGATGCCAAGCAGGCGAATCTTCTGTATAAGAAAGAATGCGAAAGTAAGTAAAAAGAGTAAAAGGTCTCGCTGGGAATGGTGGACAAGGGTAAAGGAAGGAGGGGGGTGTAGGGGTCGGTGTCGGGTATTCCTTACCTCCTACCAACATCGCAAAATATCCGATATTTTGTGAACTTTAATGCTTTTTATTTTCCGGGAAGGTTCTCTGCGGGGTCCAATAATGTTTAAGTATTTGCCAAAGCAATTTCATTACCATTATTCAATTTTTTAATCACCTTTTGCACATCTCTCATATTGACTATTGAATTAATTTCATTCCCTTACAAACCGATAAAATTGAAGCACGATTATCCCATTATTATTATTATTATTGTTATTATTATTATTATTATTATTATTAATTCTTCAAATATTTTTGTAAATTATGTACATATTTTTTAAAGTTCAATAAAATTATCATTATTATTATTACTATTATTTCTGTTTTACCAAGACATTTAGCCTGCGAAGCGCAGACGCATTTCCGGTCGTCGCTTCTCTCCCTCCGGAGGGAGAGAAGCGACGACCGGAAATGCGTCTGCGCTTCGCAGGCTACAAGACATTCCGTATTCCAAAGCCATAAACCCTAACAGGAAAATATGTAAAACTGAATGGTTCTCGCAAAACTAAGGGCAGGGTGATTTGTGAATTGCATTTACCAATTTTATATTGTTGTATCATACAACTTTTAATATCAGATATTTTTATTTATTTATGTATTTACTTATTTATTTTCAGAGAGAACACCAGCTCCAGGTAAGGAAGGAATTAAAAGAGGAAATAAATTAAAAAGGAAAGAGAATAACATGTCAAGAAGATTCAAACTTGTTAGGGTCCTTGCAATAGTTATGAGGAGGGGGGGCCCTGAAATGAGCAAAATACGGCTAAAAGTTAACTTGAACCCCCTGTACAAACTTCTTACCCTCCCCCGCCGCCCTCATGTTAAAGCCGATAATTTAAGTACACCCCCTCCCCGCTTGGTCATGTAAAAATCCTTCAACACATACACAAAAAAATCAAAATTCCGGATAGGGAATCACCTGTGACGAATTGAAAGTTGACGTTTTACGATCCCGATGACCCCAGAAAATCAAAGATATCTCTCTTCATTGTTGAAGATAAAAGACCATTCCTTTTTTATTGTAAGTATTATGAACATCTTAGAAAGACGCTCCCGGACAAGATCCTGTAACCGAACATGCATTTTCTCAATTTTAATTATTATGAAAAAATATTATATATTTTTTATTAATAACGTTGATCCATATATAAGTAGATTTACGGCTGATTTTGCTTTTAATGCTGAAGAAAGAAAGTGTAATTGACTTTAATTTGCAGATTGACTGATTGATAATTTCCTACAAAAGTTCTAATTAGATTTAACTGTTTTGTATTTCCTTTTTTGTTTGGTCACACCATTTATCCCATGCCATACAAATAGAGAATACAGCCAGTCAGAGAGCTAGAAAGCCGTTGCATAATCTGCGGTATCCAACAGGTGGTATTTCACCAAAAATTTCCGGCGATACTTCTCCCTCCACATTTTTCCGCCGAGAATAGGACGGATATCGACGGTCGATAGCGGCGGCAGGCAAAACTTTTCATTCTACCAAAATCTGGTTTCAGCAGAAATTTTGTAAACAACACTATAAAATCCGAGTTTAATGACTAGCATTCGGATTTCATTAGAAGTCAAAGTTCCAAAGGTCATAAAAAAGGGAATCAAACAGACTACGCACAAAGAAGTTTAGTAATTTGCGAACCGAAAACAACAAAAACAAACCGGTTAGCCAGTTTTGCGAAGACAGAGAAGGATCCACACTTGCACTTCGAAACAACAAGCCTAACTGAAATCCTGTCAGAAAAATTCAACAGCTGTCTTGTCGCGTAGACGGGCATTTCAACAGGCTAGAGCCGCATTCTAGCCACAATATGGCGGAAAAATAGGACTACAGCGACTTTGAAAGATTTTTGTCTCCGATTGTGAGTTACTTGTAACCAATTCTCAATGGGTACCACCGGAATATGGATAACCAGAAATATCAAATTCAAGATCTACCTTCCATTAATGCCAGCTTTTCGGATTTCACTGGGGTTTTCCCGCTAAAAACCAACCAAAAACTCGCCATTTTTGAGTGGATTTTCACGTGCGTGGACTTTCACGGAAAGATTAAAACCAAAGTTTGCAGAAATTGCGAACGATACTACCTGAAATCTTGTCACCTCTGGTCCGCCTTTAAAATCACCTCCAGTGGCGGATCCAAGGGAGGGGCCCGAGGCTCCTGCCTCCTCCCCTCCCTTAGTTTTAGACCAAACTGAGGC